CTGTGCCCGCCGTTTTGGTGGCTTTGGGAGTGGTTAGAAAATTCCTGTGTAAATGCTTTTTATTTAGGAGACAAGGGGCTTGGGGGGTGTGTGTGTGTGTGTTTACTTAATGTATGTGCTCTCCTCAGTGCCCGAACTTTTCCTTTCCTGATGAAAACGAAAAAAAAAAAGAAAAAAAAAATTGGCAACAAGTTTCAGCCGTTAGGGGTCATAGAAGATACAAACAATTTCTGCGGGTAAAATTCTTTTCTGGATAACTCCATTTTCAACATATGTTCACAATAACGCACAAAACGCCTGCATTCATGCATTGCAAGCTTCACAGCGCATTCCTCTAAAGCGTCATGTGTTCTCTATTTAGGTCTATAAACAGGTGTGCAGTCTCCTTTCCCTTCGGGTAAAATTCCTGTGTCCTGTATTCCCACTTAGTTGTTTCTCTTTCCAGCTGACACTCTTTGAAGTTGGGGGGGGGGGGGGAGGGGGGGATCAATCCACCAGTTAGATGAACATCTCAGCAATCTTAAGATGTCTCGGGAGATTTCCAGGTCATAAAAAATGTATAATAACTCTCTGTTGGCCTTTTTTTTTTTTTTTTTAATTGAAGCTTGGCATTTTGTCTGTGGTATTTTGGGTACTTCAAAAATCAACAGAGTCAAAACAAATTGGAGATGAAAGATAGCAAGAGAGGAGAAAGAAAAGAGAGCAAGAAAAAGAGTTAAAATAAAAACAGAGAGAAAAATACCCAACTGACTGGCTTTCCTGCTCTCACATAAATAATGGACAACCAGTAAATAAATAAGTTACGGGGCTCAGCCAAGCCCAGGAGACTGGTGGACATGATCCTGCAAGTTTATTAGAACAGAAACACAGCTGGAAGGAGACCCGGGAGGTCACCGAGTCTGGTCTGCTGCTCTCTCTGGCAGTGCCTCACTCGAGACCCCCAACGGGACCAATTTTTCTCAGCTAGGAAGATACGGAAATACCCCACCACAATCAACCCTATGATTGGGACTTGCACCACTGGGTATAAGAGCAGAATTTGGTCCCCTCACTATATACCACTGAATTACATCCATTTCACGGCATTCTCAAGTGCACGCTTCATGAAATCTTTTCTAGCACTACCAGGAATTTCTAGGATATCCAGCAGTCACTTTCTCCGATCTGCCTTGAGGACAACACAGGGGCCCACAGGACTCCTGCCAGTGTTAATGAAGATCCTACTGACATTCCCAAGAGAGAACACATCCCCGCTGCGACAGTTCCCACATCTCCAGAGAGTTACTTGGAAGACAGTCCTTAAAAGATACTCACAAATGTAATTTTTCTAGCAAGGTGCTAGATGCTGTGCCCTCAGAAAGTTCCTTACAGCTTCCCAGGGTTTGGGTGGGATGCTTCTCACTTAACTGTAGATGTCTACCGTGCAGACACACTGTCATTTGAATCAGTCTCTCCAGGCTTATAGATGATAGAGAGAGACAGGCGCTTTACAGTGTAATTAAGGTGCTTTTAGTTTTGTTTCCGCTTAAAGCTGAAAGAAATCCTTCCAGGTGATTCACTGACTCCTCTCACTCTAAAGGGAGCCTGGAGGATACAGAAGAAAGCACGTGCTTCCAAGCTGCCAACTTAGGTGAGACAGATCCCAACTTTGCTGTTGGGTATAACTTAAATTTTGCTTGCATGCTTAAGCATCCAGCAGTTGCTTTCTTTTCTGCCACACACTCCTAATGAGAATTCAGGAGCTTTCTTTGCCACACCTGAACCCTAGAGAACCACCTTCTGCTCTCTAGCACCACTGCTAACAATCCATCCTATTCCAGTTTTCTTCATTAATATTTCTGCCTTTACGTCCTGTTGTTATTTAAAGCCTTAAGTAGGCTTGCTAATACTGATCCAATATTAGATAATAATGATACCACATAAGCCAATACCATGATGATGATACCATAAGAATGATAGCAATATTCCCATATTAACTAATAAAGATACCCGTGTCTTCCAAAAAGGATGCGGAATTTAACCTCTCTATCCCAGCCCACTGATTTGCAGCCTCCCTTCTCTACAAGCCGTCTCAAAACCAGACAGAACGCACATCAGCAGGAGGAGCAGCTCTGATTGACCAAGGAAGGTACATGCTTGCCTTCTCATAATGAAACTTTCTCCATTTCTCTGAGTAGGATGAATGTGGGGGACACTCTCTAGTTAGAAAACATGCTGGATTTTATTAGTGCAACCCCGGATTTATTTCAGAAAACCCATTTGAGCAGTATTTCAATACAGTATATTAATTTTGCACTTCATCACTGCAATTTAATTGCAAATAAGCACCACTGTACATAAGTGCAGTAAGCATATACAAGTTCAGTACCTGTCCAGCAATAAAATATCAAGCTCATTTATGTAATTTAGTAACACTCCCTCATTTATCTTACAAGTAACTTTCAGGTTTTCAAAAATAACTAACATAGAAGTGCATTGATTTTTCACTGGTTTGCTGCTGGCATGCTTTCTGTATTTCTCCTTGGACAAGAAAATATGATAAATACGATGGCCAGTTCCAATGTCATTTAAAGCCACTTTCTGGGGAATTTCCCTTTCAGATCTCGCAGGCCAGCAGACTGCACTGAAGTGACGATTATTCACATGCTTTACTAAAGTATTTGATTTTCTAAATGAAAAAAAATTAACAAAACATTAACTTAAAGGCTGCGCAATCAAGTTCTTAGCTGGTGTAAACTGAGAATAACATCAAACCCACTCCCTATCAGCAAAGGCGCAAAACCTGACTGACTGCACGTTCCGTTGACAGCAGATTTCCTCATCCCTGGAGCAGGCATGGATCTGCCAGTGAAACTGCAAACTCTCTGGCTGTCTCTGCCAACGATTCCTGGGCCTCCTGCAACAGGACTGCCCCCAAAGAAAGCTCGTGAACTGGTCCTCACACCCATCCATGTGCTGAGACAGCACTAGAGCACCACAACGTAGCCTCTGCAGTGTAATTCAGACTGCGTAAAAAAGCGTTTTTTTCTAGATACTGCCATATCTAGGGCAGTCACATTACTGACGGATTCTTCTGTGTCTCCAGGACTAAACAGGGAAAGGAGCAGGCAAGGACTGTTGCAGATAACCGTGAAGTGCTTCTGACCTGCTGTACCTCAGTTAAGGAGCAAGGTTAAGGATCCCACACACAGGAATACAAGAGCGCACGCTGGCACCCTGACACCAGCTCAAACCTTTGCCTTCAGCCCAGGCTGGTGGCTGCAGCCTGCGCTGCTGTCAACCACAAGTCATCTGCCCTGCTGCTAACCACTGTCTTCCTGCTTCCGCAAAAACAGATGAATGTGGCAGTAAATTTGGCTGTTTGCCACATGCAGGCGAGAGTCTGAACCATAACCTCAGCCACTGAGTATCAACCTCTACCTGTTCAGGCTGCCTCTCTGGCTGGCTCAAGCCCTCTCCTGTTTTCTTTGGACTTTGCAGCACCAACCAATAAAGCTAGCATTTAAATGCCTGCAATCCTGAAGACTAATCCCAGTGTTTGCCCCAGCCCTGTTTCAAGCATAATCCTGGGAACCCCAGTTTCTCAGAGCTCACTGTAGTGTATTTGCTTCTGTTGTTATGGGACCTGCAGGATACAACAATACACTAGCTCTTCCATGGACCTCACCCTCTCCACAGCAGGAGAGCTGTTTTCCCTAAAATGAACTTCAGGATTAGGGTTGGAATTAGAGTTAAGATTCAAGATAAAACCGGTGACTATATCCTGATTAACACTAGGACAAGCAGGGGACTCAGATCCTTGCTATGTAGGCACGGCTGTGGGTTTAGCTTAGGGTCTATGGGGGACATCTAGCTAGACCTCTCTTCTCTCTCTGTGTGAGAAGACACCTGGTATCAATAAGGGAAAATGGCTTAACACATTAGTCACCCCTAGTTCTGGGGTACATAGGGGGTGACTAATGAATCCTAAGGCGCTGGTTAGGTGTGAGTTTAGTACTTAGTTTTGCAGCTGTAAGGGCTAAAGAGATAGGCATACTCTTTGAAGGACTGCTACCCCAGAACAAAGCATGCTGTTGGCACTTCCAATGTCTTTTCATCAATTCTGTAACAGGACTGTACTTTAGAGCAATGTGCTAGGGCCAGAGATTGGGTTTAGAACGTTACGGACAAGGCCAGAGTGGGCTGGATCTTCTAGGAAGGGTTTTGTCTTCATCTAGTGTTGGTTCACCAAAAAATGGCAACTTAT